CCTATCTGCAGCTGTCTTTTGACTGAGTGACCTCTGAGTTCAAGGACCATAAATTATAGCACTGCCCAAGGGCAAATTCTGAGGTTCAATTGAATATAGTTTCAAACAGGTACTGGGTTTTTTAGCAGGTTTATGCTTGGACATTCCTAAACCTTTTACAGATTGACTGATTCATTATACATTTACTCAATAATAATAATGCCTCATTTTGTGGCAGGCACTATGCTAAGCACTGGAATTCTTTTTCAGGATTACCTTCCTAAACTCTTCATAGCATTAAAAACCTTTTAAATTCTTCCCCAACATGTACATCTTCACCCCTGTATTAATCCAGCTTCTAACATACAAAGACTTATTCGGGTACTTTGGGCATAAATGCTTCCAACTAAATAAATAGGGACACAAAAGAATTCCATATTCGTATTTTGAAAGGTCCATCCTTAAAAATGACTTTTATCATTTCTTGCATTTAGTTCATGGCTCCCTGCTGGGAATGGCCTTGGTACAAACCTATTTAAGGACATATATAGGAATGAATTATTATCCATGTTCTAATAAGCTTTAGCAGATTCTTTCTTCACAAGAGGGCTTATAACATTAGTGGGACTGGCTACTGATTAAACTGGTACAAATTGACCCAGCAAGGCTACTCAACTAAATGTGCGATGTTCTCCTTAAATACAAGCCCTGTCTGACTTCTCCAAAGAAGACACACAAATGGCTAACAGACACATGAAAAAATGTCCATTATCATTAGCCATCACGGAAATTAAAATCAAAACTACATTGAGGGCGCCTGGGTGGCTCAGTTGGTTAAGTGACTGCCTTCAGCTCAGGTCATGATCCCGGGGTCCTGGGATCGAGTCCCGCATCGGGCTCCTGCTCTGCGGGGAGCTTGCTTCTCCCTCTCCCACTCCCCCTGCTTGTGTTCCCTCTCTCGCTGTGTCTCTCTCTGTCAAATAAATAAATAAAATCTTAAAAAAAAAAAAAAAACTACATTGAGATACCACCTTACACCAGTTAGAATGGCAAAAATTGTCAAGGCAAGAAACAACAAATGTTGGAGAGGTTGTGGAGAAAGGGAAACCCTCTTACACTGTTGGTGGGAATACAAGTTGGTACAGCCACTTTGGAAAACAGTGTTGAGGTTCCTCAAAAAATTAAAAATAGAGCTACCCTATTACCCAGCAATTGCACTACTGGGTATTTACCCCAAAGACATAGATGTAGTGAAAAGAAGGGCCATATGCACCCCAATGTTCATAGCAATGTCTGCAATAGCCAAACTGTGGAAAGAGCCGAGATGCCCTTCAACAGATGAATGGATAAAGAAGATGTGGTCCATATATACAATGGAATATTACTCAGCCATCAGAAAAGATGAATACCCAACTTTTACATCAACATGGATGGGACTGGAGGAGATTATGCTAAGTGAAATAAGTCAAGCAGAGAAAGTCAATTATCATATGGTTTCACTTATTTGTGGAACATAAGGAATAGCATGGAGGACATTAGGAGAAGGAAGGGAAAAATGAAGGGGGGGAAATCGGAGGGAGAGACGAACCATGAGAGACTATGGACTCTGAGAAACAAACAGGGTTTTACAGGGGAGGGGGTGGGGGGACGTGTTAGCCCGGTGATGGGTATTAAGGAGAGCATGTACTGCATGGAGCACTGGGTGTTATACAAAAACAATAATCGTGGATCACTACATCAAAAACTAATGATGTATTATATGGTGACTAACATAACATAATAAAATAAAATTAAAAAAAAAACAACAAGCCCTGTCTGAAACTCAGCTGGCTTGATTCTAACATTTGTACAGAAGGTAGAATGACTAGAGAGGAGGAAAAGAAGCACTATTAAATACTATTGGAATTAAGATTCAATAGCTGTAGGAAAATGCATTTTCCTACAAAACTTTGTTAATCTTAGGGCTATAAAGTAAGAACAGATTTGAGTAAACATATTTTCTCTCTCTTTTTTAATATTTTATTTTTAAGTAATCTCTACACCCAACATGGGGCTTGAACTTAAATCCCCAAGATCAAAAGTTGCACACTCTACCGACTGAGCCAGCTAAGCACCCTGAACAAACATATTTTCAAAAAATGACTTCTCAAAATGTAAGTTAAGCTCATATCCTGAAAAGTACAATAACTAAGATAAAGAATGAGGAATTCACACGTACACTTAAACACAATATTTTCTTTGCAAAGATCTGTATTTGAGTGCATTCTGAGAGCTGCCTGACAAGATAACATAATTTTAATTTTGACAAGTATGTAACAAGAATAAAGACCCTTCCTTTGGTATGTTGAAATTGAATTAACCGTTCCTATTCCCACTTCTTACATATTCACACACACACACACACACACACACATACACACACACGTTTACAAAGAGAGATTTAAAATATTAGGCTTAATAGTGACTGGTCACTGAATAAAGAAGTATAATGCATTGCAATTAATATTGCAATAAGCAATTGCAATGTTTTCAGTATATATCATATACTGGGGTGAATAGACTTAAACAAAACACACTCCCCTCCACCATACATTGAAAAGCAGTAACGGAAATTGAAAGTACAAGAACAGGAAATACCACAAACTCTTGACTGGTAAGTTTTCTAGAGAGGCAGTCAGTCACATTATGGAATACATGTGTGAAGCTTTGCACGTGCAAATTTGGTCACAAACTGATTAAAGTGAAAACATAATTAAATTTATAACAATTCTGTTTGGCATGTTTAAAATGAAAGAGTTCATTTAAAAACCTGGCTGAAGGGCATCTGGCTGGCTCTGTCAGAAGAGCATGCGACTTTTGATCTTGGGGTCATAAGTTCAAGCCCCACCTTACATGTTAGAGATTACTAAAAATAAATAAATAAACTTAAAAAAAAAAACCTGGCTGAAATGATTAAGGTAAAGGTAAAGTATATGTAGTGGTAATGGTGGTGGAGGGTGGGAGTGAGAAAGAAGTAAAATCAAGAAACTGGGGTTGGGAGGAGAGGCAGGTGGAGAGGGACATTCCAAGAAACTTTTTAGAAGTTAGTGAAGCTAAGAAAATATTACAAGTTTACAATAAAAACAGAATGCGTGTTGGAAAGTTTGGTTCTTATTGTGTACGTATTATAATGTACGTTAATAAGAAAAAATAGTAAATAATTGCTTTTAATTGGTTTAAGAGACAGAAAACCCTTTGGAGAAAAATAAGCACCTAAAAGTTAAAAGTAGCATCTATATAGCAATTTATAGTTTAGAGAATGCTTTAATAATTATTATTGTAATTCAATCTATCACAGCCTAGCACATACTAAACACTTAATGCTTTAAAATGAATAGAAGCAAATTTCAATTAATTAAATTGTTAAATTTCAGATAGTGTCAAGAATTTTTATTGCACAGGATTTCACTAAGTATCTGAAGTTAGAAGAACTGTAATGACAGGGATGAATGTCTTTCCCACTTGTTTTTTGTCTTTGATCCTATAAATTTCCAATGTGCATAATTATGTGGGATTTGGGTTAAGGATGGGGCTAGAAGTCAAACAGAATAAATGTGTGGTCAAAGTACAGAGGTAAAAGGGAGAAACAAACAAACAAACAAAACAATAAGCCTGCCAAATCACTTGTGTTCTTCATCTTATTTTTGCATTAATGGGTATGTGTCAGTCAGCTCTCAGCTAAATTTTCTCTTTAAGCACAAGATGAATAAAGTTGCCTCGAAAGTATTAACAGATGGTGAGGGGAGTACATTTTTAACTATTTCCCAAATTGTATTTAAAATACCCCTTGGATTATATTTTTTTAAAGGTAAAATCTTAAGGAATACATCCCCAATGAAAATATAATTATTTTAAATTCCACTGTATGGGGGAAGGCTAGTTCTCTACCTTGGGATTTGATTTCATCTGCTGCTGTTTCTACCTCATTGCTGCTGGTGTCTAATGCAAAGCTGCCTGGTTCACTCTGTGAACTCTGAAAGGGGAAAAGAAACATCAATTTCTGAGAAAAGAAACCTTTTCCTCAAAGATACATCAACTCTCCCAGTTAAAGAATGCAGATAAATGCCTTGTAGGAGTTACCAAACATACTGCTTAATTTTTCTAGAATTTAATGCTGTGTACTAGAAGCAAAGCAGTAATCACAGTCTTACTGCATCAACAAGATAAAATGCATCGGCTCAACATGTCATCCCATCTTCCTGTGGCTAACAAAGTGATGTGCTAAGAATATTATTCCAGATGTACATTAATCCTCAAAGTATTGTATAAGGTATACAATACTTTCTAGAAACATAATTTGAGACCACCGCATAGTGAAACCGGACTTTTGAAAATGCTACTGTTTTACTATTAGAATCACTTTCCATGTTTGTGGTGGAAAGAAAAATATTTCATCTTAACTAAAGAAATTAAAGCTTAGTTTTATGAATAAATGGTGGCAAATAGCTTTTTGTGCTCATGCTGATGTAGTTTTGTTTGTTTTGTTTTCATGCTGATATAGTTTTAAAAGAATGATAATAGAATATTTTTAAGACTCATATTAGTGAACTTAATGGTGAATCATATTTTTAATTGCCTCCCCTTTTGTATAGAATATTCTTCCTCATTGAAGTCTTGTATTCAAATAAACACAAAGTTACTTAAATTATTAACATGGGAATTATATTTTCAGAATGAATAGTGAAGTTACCCTAAAAACTGGTGGTTATTGTACTCAGGGTAATAGTTCTGATTTTAGAAAGCACCTTTATTTACCTATAGTTTATAATAGCTTTTCACAAATAATTTACCTGTCCATGGAAGCTTCCTGCAACTGACTCAAATGAGTCAGCTTAATGATTAACATGAGTTTGCTCTTTCCCATTTGCCATTTTGTTTACTTTTTTGAATACCCACATATTTTCTTTTCCTTCTTCATAAGAAAACTAATTTGTCCAGTTTACTCTCCAGCATTAACATCTGATTATTTATGAAAACTCTACCTCAGTAGGCTCTTTGACTTCAGGTGCTTCCTCTTTCCTTTCTTTGTCTTCTTTTCCATCTTCCTGAAATGGAAACAGTGTTTGTAAGTGGCATCCAAAAGAAGCTAAAGATAAAATTAACATCTTATACTCTAGTATAGCAAGATTTTTATGTAAAAAAATTTACATAACGGGCAAATATCATACCAAATAAAATCATACAAAGTAGCTGTATTAACAAATTCAAACAGTAACAGACTTGTTATAAATGCCAACCAACTAGAAGCAGACTCCTGGGACCCGACTACCATTTGACACCCCCCAACCTCTTTTTCTTAAGTAGACTACATACCCAGCATGGAGCCTAACTCGGGGCTTGAACCATGACCCGGAGATCAAGACTGAGCTGAGATCAAAATTCGGATGCTTAACCGAGCAACCCGGGCACCCCTGACCCCATTTTTTTCAGCACTTTTGTCACAACTTGATGCAGAATATTTCAACTAAAAAGAGAAATAATTAAGTGACAATATATGATATTGTATCTCAATTTTCTCAAGAATGTTGATTCCCAAATCCTCTCATAGTTAAGTGGTTAGAAATCTATGTAAGCCAGGTACCTGAGCAGGTTTGGGTTCCTCTTGAGATGCTGACTCACTCATCTGGGCCACTGAAAAGTATCATCAAATGGTAGGGAAAAGTATTACCAGACCAATATTAATAACAAAAAGAGAGAAAGAAAATATTAGTAAACAACAAAAAGTACTACAGAAGACCGAAATCACCCCCAACCCCCAATGCATCCCACCATTCTATTGAATGGTAAGTTCTCAACTGTTAAACTTTTCAAACTCTGCTACTGTTATAGCTGTTGTTACTGGCCAAAACTAGATTAGTGCTAGGCTAGTACCCAGGGAGACAGGAAAACTCAACCATTAATAATCACCACCATTAGCATTAAAAAAAGAAACACACACACAGCAACAGTAATGCAAGTAAATTTTTTTTAAAACATTATTATCATCCTCATTAATTTTTGAAATAACAATTCAGATGAGGTGAAGTGAATTTTTTTTTTTTTAAAGATTTTATTTATTTATTTGAGAGAGCGAGAATGAGAGAGAGAGCATGAGGTGGGGAGAATCAGAGGGAGAAGCAGACTCCCTGCCGAGCAGGAAGCCCGATGCGGGACTCGATCCCGGGACTCCAGGATCATGACCTGAGCCGAAGGCAGTCGCTTAACCAACTGAGCCACCCAGGCGCCCTGAAGTGAAATTTTGATGGCCACCCAATTCGTGTGAGAAAGGCATATAGACAGAGTAATGATCTCACTACAAAGCATTTTTTTGAATGAGGAGTTCTGACAGGAATGTGATTTATCTTGTTTATTCATATTAAAGAATTAAAGTGGATAATTATCAGATCTCTACTTCACTGCAAATCACTGCAAATTTGGTTACAAATTATCAAAATCATTGCTGTGCCAAAAATCATTTAAGAATTTGTGTATATTGGGCGCCTGGGTGGCTCAGTTGGTTAAGCGACTGCCTTTGGCTCAGGTCATGATCCTGGAGTCCCGGGATCGAGTCCCGCATCGGGCTCCCTGCTCAGCGAGGAGCCTGCTTCTCCCTCTGACCCTCCACCCTCTCATGCTCTATCTCATTCTCTCTCTCAAATAAATAAATAAAATCTTAAAAAAAAAAAAAGAATTTGTGTATATTTAGGCTAGGTTCTATGTAAAAACTAAATTTTATATCCGTGGCCTCTGCCTCTAGGGCAGTTACAATCTAGGGAATAATCTGAAATGGTATCTTTATACTGTGCTAGAGTATTTGCATTTCTTTTTATCAACACAGTACATGTTCTAGTTGAATAAACTGAAATTACTGCCTTTGGAGACAACAGATTCCAACACTTTAGAATAGCTGCCTCAAAGCCTTTTTGAGGCAGTTCATAAATAATAAATAATATAAAATAGATTTCTTTGGTAGGTCCCAACTGTACATTCTCACAGACTGCTTTCTTTGCTTATGGTGTCAATCTCCTGAAATTGCTAAGAAGTTCCCTTCCATTTCTTTTAAAATCCATTTTGTTTGGATGCACCCAGATAAATCCAATGCAATAAACCTTTATTGGGTGTCTTCTCTATGCAGTAGACATTAGGGTTGTAAAGATGAGTAAGACTTGTGCTCAGGGAACCAGGAAAACTTCCTTTGAAGGGTTCCTAGTTTAGTGATGGAAAAAGCGATAAACAGATGCAATTCAATCTGCAAAGTTCAAAAGTAGAGGTGCATATAAAACGCTAAGGAACACAGAGGGGTAAGCAATTACTTTTCCCAGGGCGGTCAGGGAAGTTTTCACAGAAAGATAGATTTCTAAACTGGATTTTAACAGGCTAATAAGACATTTTTGTGTAAAGGAGCAGGGGGAAGAACGTTTGAGGCAGAAGGAGCAATACACACTAGGGTATGCAAGTTCAAAAAGTGAAACACTGATGGAGCAGAGCATACTTACATAAAAGAAAATGGCAGGAGATGCAGCTGAAAAAGTCACTTTTCAATCTGTAAAGGTTTATCAAGCTGAATCAAGGAGTTTGGACTTTACTCTGTACTTTTTAAGCACAGGATAGATGGGATCAAATTGGTGTCTTTAAAAAGTTACCTCCACCAGCAAATACTAGAATTATGAAAGACTGGGGAAAGAGAGAATGAACGTGGATTTTGCACCTGAAATGTTGCACCTGCAGTAAATGGCCCTCACTCTAGTCTAGGTTCTGCCAGACATTGCCAATACCCTAACCATACCCCTTCAGCTTTGCTTTTACAGTACATGTGGATGGTTTCTGACCTCAAGCACCTGGAATTCTGTCTGAGCATTCCTGCCAGTCCAAATGTGGGGATAGGCGAGAAGTGTGTGGGGAGTTGATATCTTACAGGATAAGCCTCAGCCAATGATGGATAAGAAATTGCATATAGTCCCATAGGTGGAACGTTTCTGTCTCTCAGAGTTCCCCAATGGGATAGAACCTCAGTTGTCTACAGTGCAACCTGCCCAATAATAGAGGCGTCTTTCACTTTTCTGTATTACTTCCCTACTCCCTTACCATTATTTCCTGGAACCACCTCCCAGATGAACTTGCACTCAACTCCTTGGATCAGGGTCTATTCTGAGGGAACCTAAACTAAAACAGATACAATGATCAGGACTGGGGGCAAAATTGGATCTAAAGAGTAAAAAAGAAATAGTTAATGTTCACTGAGTGTTTTTTTCATGTTTACAAGGCTGAATGGATGATGATGCCATTAAATGAAATAAGGAAAGGAGAGAAAACAGGTTGGAGGAATGGTAAGAGTTTGAGTTTGGAGGTGTTAACACGTTTAAGATACCTATTCAGTAGTCTGATAGAAGTTTCCAGTAAGAATCTTTTTTTTTTTTTAAGATTTTATTTATTTGACAGAGAGAGATACAGCGAGAGAGGGAACACAGCAGGGGGAGTGGGAGAGGGAGAAGCAGGCTTCCCGCTGAGCCGGGAGCCCGATGTGGGACTCCATCCCAGGACCCTGGGATCATGACCTGAGCCAAAGGCAGTCGCTTAACCAACTGAGCCACCCAGGCACCCCTCCAGTAAGAATCTTAATGACACTGAAATATATTATGGTGCATTGGTAGGAAGTTATGCAGAATCAATTCCACTGGAAAATGATAGAAACACTGTCCAGTCTGAACAGTACTAACTTGCATTTTAATTACTTAAAATGCATAGCATTCTGCACACCTCACGCTCCCACCCATAAGATTCTAGAGTCATTCTACTTAGATTGTCAGCTATGAGACAGAGTTTTTGTGAATCTGTTAATGGCCCTTTACATGCACTCCCAGTAGATTTATAAATTGGTGAATTGCAGCATTTGGCATCTTGATTGGCAAGACTGTCAGTCATATATTAAAGGGTAGCCAATTATCCTTGAGGAAGGGGTTTCCCAGTGTAAGAGAAATCATACACAATTCTGATTTGTCAGACTAATAGAAGATCAGAAATGTCATTTAGTTAGATTTCATGAGTCTTAAACTCCTGGGTACTGACAGAAAGATGCATTTGCAGGAGGATGCTAGTGGAGCTCACCCAATAAGAATATCTTCTAGGAGAAGAAAGAAAAAAGCTAAAGATAAACGCTTGCTGATGAACACTTAAAGGTAAGGCTAGGAGAGAAAAGCCAGGATAAGAGAGAGATAACTGCTGAGAATGGCAGGAGATTCCTGCAGCTATTTGTCTGCACGCTGCTGGCCTGACTCCCATTATCAGCCTCTACCCGCTGTGCCTGTGCCAGAGCAGGCTCCTGCAGCCCCACAAGTATATACCAACGACCAAGGTCTGTACGGCTATTGGTGGATCTGGACTGAACCCTAACCCTTGTCATTGGTCTGCACAGCTCCACTCACTTGCAGTTAACCCTACAGTTGTACACCTGCAATACACCAGCCCCAACTCCCATCACTGGCCTCCCCTGCCAAACACATGCCTACAGCTAGCCCCTATAGTCACACATGTACGCATTGACAGCCAGAGCCACTGCAGCTGCCTGTGTGCCTGCAGTTGGTCCCAGCCCCTGCTGAGGGCCCTAACCTTCACTACTGCACATCTGTCTGCAACTGGCCCCTGCAGCCAGCCTCCTCAACTGACCCCACAGCCAACTGTGTGCAACCACTGGCTGTGGCCACCATCACTGGCTGGCATGATCCCTAGCCAGTAGACTGGAGGTTCTGTTAAAGAATCCAACAGTCCTGGGGTACCCCGGTGGTTCAGTTGCCTAAGCATCTGACAATTTTGGCTCAGGTCATGATCTTGGTGTCCTGGGATCAAGCCCTGTGTCAGGCTCCATGCTCAGCAGGGAGTCTGCTTTAGGATTCTTTCCCTCTCCCTCTGCCCCTCCCCCAGCTCACGTGCACTCTCTCTCTCTTTCTCTAAAATAAAATAAAATAAATAAATCTTAAAAAAAAAAAGAATCCGGGCACCTGGGTGGCTCAGATGGTTAAGCATCTGCCTTCGGCTCAGGTCATGATCCCAGGGTCCTGGGATCGAGTCCCACATCAGGCTCCCTGCTCCTTGGGAGCCTGCTTCTCTCTCTCTCTCTCTCTGTCTGTCTCTCATGAATAAATAAATAAAATCTTAAAAAAAAAAAAAAAGAATCCAACAGTCCTCAGAGCCATTGTGTACTGCCTGAAGCTCTCACCAAAGATGAGACCATATGTCATGGACCATAGCTTCCTGAGCCAATGAGATACCATGCCACCCCCCACCCATCCCCATCCACAGGCACTACATGCCCTCACACTTAGCATCCTGCAGCACTAGACTAAGGGTCACAGCATGTTCCAGCATGCCCCCAAATACAGGTGAAGGTCTTTCCCTACCTAAATCATTCCATAAAGTCTGGAAGAGGTGACTCTTCTTCAAACACACAAACACCTACAAAAGTGACAGGGATCACAAAGAATCAAGGAAACATGACACCACTAAAGGAACACAGTAAACTTCCTGTAATGGACCCCAAAGAAGTAGAGATTCATAAATTACCCAACAAAGAATTCAAAATAATTGTTTTAAAGATGGTCAGAATGCTACAAGAGAACAGAGATAAACGGTTTGATGAAATAAGGAAAATAATAAAAGAATGAAATGATAAGTTCCACAGAGAGAAAAACAGAACACCAGAAACAGAAAAAGGAACACCAGAAATTTTAGAGCTGGAGAATACAAGAACTGAAATGAATTCAATGAAGAGTTTCAATAGCAGACTAGACCAAGCAGAAGAAAGAATCGGTGAATCTGAACACAGATTTATTATTATTATTATTATTATTGAAGTATAGTTGATATACAATGTTACATTAGTTTCAGGTGTACAACATAGTGATTTGACAAATCTATACACTATGCTATGCTCACCACAGGTGTAGCTATCAACTGTCACCATGCAATGCTATTATAATACCATTCACTATATTCCCTGTGCTGTACTTTTTATCCCTGTGATTTATTCATTCCATAGCTGGAAGCCTGTGTCTCCCATTACCTTCACCCATTTTGCTTATCCCTCAATTCTCTCTCCTGTGACAACCGTCTCTTTGTTCTCTGTATTTATGAATTTGTTTTTGCTTTTTGTTTATTTATCTTATTTTTATAGATTCTACATATAAGTAAAATCATGTGGTATCTGTCTTTCTCTGACTTATCTCATTTAGCATACCCTCTGGGTCCATCCATGTTGTCACAAATGACAAGATCTCATTCTTTTTTTATGGCTGAGTAATAATCCTGTGTGTGTGTGTGTGTGAGAGAGAGAGAGAGAGAGCAAAAGAGAGAGAGAGAGACATCTTTACCCATTCATCTATCGATGGACACTGGGTTGTTTTCACATCTTGGTTATTGTAAATAATGCTGCAATAAACATGGGAGTGCATATATCTTTTCAAATTAGCATTTTCATTTTTTTGGAGGGTAAATACTAAGTAGGAACACAGATCATTTGAAATGATCCAGTCAGAGAAAAGCAAAGGGAAAAAAATGAAGGAGAATGAAGAAAGCCTATGGGATTGATAGGACACCATTAAGAGAAATTATGTATTATGAGAGTCTAAGAGGAGAGAGAAAGGGGTAGAAAGCTTATTTTAAAAAATATATCTGAGAACTTCCCAAATCTGGGGAGATATTTGCACATCCAAGTTCATGAAGTTCATAGGTCTGCAAACAAATTCAACCCAAAGACATCTTCCCAGGACACATTGTAATAAAACTGTCAAAACCCAAAGACAATGATAAATCTTGAAAGCAGCAATAGAAAAGAAGTATGTCACTTACAAGGGAATCCCATAAGACTATCAGTGAATTTCTTATCAGAAACCTCACAGGCCAGGAGAAAGTGGGGTGATATATTTAAAGTAATCAATATTCCTTTTTTTTTTTTAAGATTTTATTTATTTATTTGAGAGAGAGAGAATGAGAGACAGAGAGCATGAGAGGGGGGAGGGTCAGAGGGAGAAGCAGACTCCCCGCCGAGCGGGGAGCCCGATGCGGGACTCGATGCGGGACTCGATCCCGGGACTCCAGGATCATGACCTGAGCCGAAGGCAGTCGCTCAACCAACTAAGCCACCCAGGCGCCCCGTAAAGTAATCAATATTCTACCTGGTAAAATTCTCCTCAGAAATGAAGGAGAGACAAAGTCTTTCCCAGACAAACAAAACCTGCCTTACAAGAAATGTGAAAGGAGTTCTTCAAGCTGGCACAAAGGGACACCAATTAGTAACATGAAAACATATGAAAATATAAAACATACTGATAAATATAACTATATAGTCAAATTCAGAACACTTCAACACTGTAATATGGTAGTGTATTAATCAGTTAATTCTAGTATAAAGGTTAAAGGACGTAAGTATTAAAAATAACTATAGCTACAAAATTTGCTAATGGATATACAATATAAAAAGATGTAAATTGTGGCATCAAAAACAAAAAGGGAGGGTAAAAAGGTAGAGTTTTTGTATGTAGTTGAAATTAAATTGTTATCAACTTAAAATAATTATTATAATCAATGTTTCATGGTACACAAAGCAAAAACCTACAGTAGATGCACAAAAGATAAAAAGAATGGCATCAAAGCATACCCCTATGGAAAATCATCAATTCACAAAGGAAGGCAGTAAGAGAGGAAGAAAGCACAAAGGAATTATGAAACAGCCAGAAAACCATTAACAAGATGATATTACTAAGTTCTTCCCTATTGATAATTACTCCAAATGTATATGAATTAAATTCTCTGTCAAAATGCAGATAGTGGCTGGATGGGTGAAAAAACAAGACGCAACTATATGCTGCCTAAACAAGAGACTCACATCAGCTTTAAGGAGACACATGGGCTCAAAGTGAAGGGAAAGAAAAAGAGTACATGCAAGTGAAACCAAATTAGAGCAGAGGTAGCTATACTTACATCAGACTTTGAAATAGACTTTAAACCAAAAGCTGCAACAAGAGACAAAGAAAGTCATTATACAATGATAAAGGGGTCAACTTATCAAGAATTATGGGGTTGTAGAATTATAGGATTAATTGAATTCACATCCCAGCCAAGTTACTCTTGTGAAAATTCGGGCACTGATTGGGAAGAAGGACCTCATTCCAAATTTCCAACATTTAGTGGGACTAGGAGACTAATAATCTCAAACTTCTGATTCTCTCTTGCCAATGGAGGCAATTTGTCCTCCTGTATTTGTGGAGACTAGCCTTCACTAAATTGAAAACCTTGCAATAATCTCATCTGGGGGAATTGTCTTACTAGATGCCCATTTTCCTCAAGACTCATCACAACCACCTCTTACTTCTAGGAGACTCATAACTAAAATCAGATGTTAAAATGCTCC